CCTCTCCCTTCCCCCCTCCCCTCCCAGCACATGATGGCATCGTGATTAAGATTGAGGTGCAGACCAATGACGAGGGCTCAGAGAGCTTGGAGACGCCAGAGCCCCTGATGGGACAAGTGGAGGAGCACGGCTTCCAGGACTCAGAGCTGGGTGACCCCTGTGGGGAGCAGCCAGACCTGGACATGCAGGAGCAGGAAAATGCGCTGGAGGAGTCCACTGAGGGTTCGGGCGAGTTCAGCGAGCTCAAGCAGATGCTGGTGCAGCAGAGAAACTGCTCAGGTGAGTTCCAGGCAGGGCGGGAGCTGCGGGGACTACATACCTGGAAAGAGGGTTTCTGCCTCTGCCTCTGGACTAGGAAATGAGTTGTGATGTCAGAGACAGGCCAGGCAAGGACCCAGGGTCACCATCACAGCTAAAACTTTCTGTTCCCCACCTGGCCTTAACTGTCGCAGGTCACACTGGAACTTAACTAGCTTGAAGATTTCTACCTTGGAAAGTGTGCATTTTTTTTCTTTTTTCCTTTTTGTTTTTTGGAGAGCATGTTTGTAAAATAGCTACTCTGCTGTCTTCCTCTGGGAGAACCAAGTGTCATTTATAAAACATCAGTGTCACTGGGTATGGTGGTGTATTCCTATAATCCCAGCGCTTGGAAGGCTGAAGCAGGAGGATTGCCATAAACTCAAAGTCAGCCTGAACTACACAGTGAGAACCCTGTCTCAAAAAACAAATCAAAGCCCTCAGTGTCGTCATTCTCTTCCCCATTGCTCCTTGAGAGTACATGGACATTAAGGCAGTGGGCTTCTAGGACATGCTTAGTGACAGATTTCCTGCTTCCTGCACCCTTGGGAAGAGCCCTACGTGGTAAGCACAGTGGGTTTTTGCTTTTGTTTTTTCTTTTACCAGTACTGGGATTGAACCCAGGGCCTTTACCATTAGCTACATTCTTAGCCCTTCTGTTTTGAAACAGGCTCTTGCTAAATTGGGTTGAACTTGCTATCCTCCTGCCTCAGCCTCCCAGAGTGCTGGGATTATAGGTATGTGTTACCACACCTGGCTGATGTGTTTTTTTGTTTGTTTTTTTAAGATACTATCAGATTTGTTTGTTTTTGTTTTGTTTTGATACCGGGGATTGAACTCGGGTCCTTGCGCTTGCAAGGCAGGCCACCGAACCGCTGAGCTAAATCCCCGGCCCAAGATACTATCAGATTTAACAAGTATTTTATTCCAGAGTTTTATAGTTACATTCATAAATGAAATGGGGGTTTAGTTCAGTGGTGCCGCCACCTGCCTCGAAAGCACAAGGTCCCATGTTCAATCCCCAGTACCCAAAAAATAAATTAATTAATTAAATGAACCTGAATTTTTTTTTCCAATCCTTTTCATTTAGTTTTAGAAACAATACTATCCCAGATTTATCAGGGGAACCAGGCAGCTTTTGTTCTTTATCTGTATTCTGGAAAAAAACACACATAAGATAGGAATTAATTCCTTGAAAATTGGTAGTATTCAGTTGGGTTTTTATTTCCTGCTTGGATGTTTTCTTTATGTGTGAGTCATTAACTGTCACACTTTAGAGATGTGTTCATATCCAGTTATTTAGGTTTTTTAAAATTATTTCATTGATTTTTTCATTTTATCTGTAGATAATTTCCCTACAATTGGCTTTTTGCACTTAGTAAAATACCATGAGCATCCTTCTTAGTCAAGTGATACAGATCTAACTTCTTGTTGTTAAGTAACTGCATGGTATTTATTTCAAAAGTTTTTAATATGCATATTCTTTTGTAAAAGAATAGCAAGAAGACAAGGCAGATTCTGAGTATAGGTAAGTTGCAAAGGATCATACGATAAATTTTGAGCATCCCCCCAAATTCTAGAACCTCAGGAAATTACAAAATTGTAGTTTGTGGAATTGGGAGTCTTGAATTTTAGAGCTAAATGTTTCATTTTTATCATTTTATTAAGAGAAAAGCAACTCTGTGCTCAAGGAGCATTTAGGTCTCCTAGGGCTCATCTTTTCCCTGTCCTTTGACACAACTGTTTTCCAAAGAAATGCCAAGGGGACTCCCAAGACCTGAAGTGGCCCTTCCTTCCTTATCCTTTAGGCACAGTGCTCAAGGACATTCTGGGTCACTGTCTGCTGGGAAATCAGCAGCCTTGACTCAGCACACCTGTGTTGCATTTCTGACAGTACAGTTCACATGTTTAGCAGAGCAGCAGGAGCACTGTGGCCTAGGGGTTACCGATGACTAAGCAAGACTGTGACCAAGTGACACACATGCTGGCCTCAGTTTTCCTGAAGGTGAGAGAGGAGAGGGTATTGTCTCTAACTACAGCTCTGCAGAGGCCTACAACTTCTTACTTGGAAATATCGCTTATCTGAGTTCTGATGCTTGGCCATGAGATGCAGATAATTCCTGCCTGACTTTATCCTGGGCTAAGATCCCTTCCCATGAAAGGACAGGACAGGTATGGCAGTGCTTTGAAAAAGTTTTTGTTGGTAAGACTTATGCAAAAGTAGACTATTTTATCTCACAGAGGGACTGGGAGGAATGACTTTCTCATGTCACACAAAGTCAGTGACTTAGAAAAGACCTCCAGCCAGGCAGGTGGCACACTCCTATAACCCCAGCACCCTGACAGGCTGAGGCAGGAGGATCACAAGTTTGAGTTTAGCCTGGCCAATTTAGCAACTTAGTGAGACCTTGTCGCTAATAACAAAGGGCTAAGGATATCGCTCAGTGAAGACCTGGGTTCAATCCCAAGTACTGCAAATAAATAAATAACTCCCCAATTTTAAGGAATGCCAAATAAGTATAAGACACCTGAAGAAAATAAAATAGGAGGTGGAGGCCACTCCTTTTTTTTCCTGAAATTCTAATGGGCCACTTAGAACTTGGCATTGTTTAGGCCCTTCATGGCCACGCTGAGGGAGTGGGGGGAGTCCTGCACCATTTGGGCATACAAAGCACTGTACACTGGAGCTTGAAAGAAAGGTGGAGAGAGCTCTCTGGGGCCCAGCTGGCAGGCTTGTGGTCTGGCCAAGCTGCTGAGCTGTGGGCTGAGCGCCTGGGTCCTCAAGGGGAGGAGATCATGCAGGCTGAGAAAGGAGGCAGCTTGCTGGAGGACTGGGAGTGAAGGTATGGGGAGAAGTCCACAGGTTTCAGAAAGAGTGGGTTTGGCAGAGCACAGTTCAGGCCTAGTGCCCTAAAGGGGAAGATAGAACAGTAAAGACCCTCTGGTGCAGCTGGCCAGCCCTAGGAGCCTGTGTGAAAAGGAGGTGTTTGTGGACTCACTTTATTGGCTCATCAATCTGACAGGTTCAGGTCTGGCTGGGTCCCAGTAGCACCCCCACAAGGGGTCCTGCAGTAGCTTCTTCCGTGCTTCCTCGCTTAAGATGCCCTGAGGACGCTGGCCCACTTGGCTGTGGGCTCCTTCCTTCACGACAGACCATGGCCAGCCCATGAGGGTGAGGGCTGTGGGTCGCAGGGAGTGAGGTTTCCCCAAAAGAGGGAACGTGGGCCAAAACTGCAGTGCATATGGGTGTCTGGGTGAGGACCAGGGCTGCTCTCCTGCACCCAGCCCAGGCACTGACATCCATCTGTCTGTCCTTGGCACAGAGGGCATCGTGATAAAGACCGAGGAGCAGGAGGAAGAGGAGGAGGATGACGACGACGACGAGCTGCCCCAGCACCTGCAGTCCCTTGGGCAGCTCTCTGGGCGATATGAGGCCAGCATGTACCCGACTCCTCTGCCCGGGGAGATGTCCCCAGAGCGTGAGGAGAGCCCCCCGCCGCTGCAGCTGGGCAACCCGGCGGTGAAGAGGCTGGCGCCCCCCTC